TTCCTCAGACTCCAGTACCTAAACAGTCTCTGCTCTGATGGTCAAAGGCTGTTCATCCACTGAAGGGCAGCTCAGTTTCCAGGAAAGCACACCAGCAGCCCAGGCTAAGTGCTTTGTATCTGTGTACAGTATTAACCTCCCATTTGTTGTGCATGATTATTTACCACATGAAGGCAAATTCCACAAAGGCAAACCTCATTTCTAATTCCTATACCCTCTAACAACATGTGCACAAGACTCCTCTGAACCTTGCTTTCAACCTTGGGTATATTTCAGGAGAAAAAGAGTAGTATATAATAGATTTATTTAGAAAAAGTCATTATCATTATGTAATTGTCCCATGAATCAACAGTAAGCTCATTGAGGACAACATTTCTTTGGCCACAGCCACCTTGTTGTTCAGATGTTCTCAAGAAAATAAAAAAGGGAAGTGAGGAGGCTGAGGTCTCTTAACTTGAGAGAGGAACGGACTTTGGAGACAAGGTTTCACTTGACATTTCCACCTTTGGCTTCCACCTTTGACTTTCTTGCTTTTTGCCGTAAATCTGACCACATCAGGTATTGTATTATTAGGCACTTCCTTTTGGTCAGCGACCTTAACCTTTCTCTTCAAGTTTTTGAAAACTTGCCCTTATAACTTACCTTTTGATTTTCTTTCATGTTTATTCTAGAACATTTGAAGCAACTGAACCATGACATCTTAAAAGTGAAGTTGTTTGGGAATCCAATACAGTTAAAAATAAGTCACTAATTGGAGATGCTAAAAGTTCTCTGTAGGGGTCCCTAGTCTCTACCTGACTCCTGAGAATTCAGTCAAATTTCAGTTGTTCTAAGCAAGAGGAAGAGAGATCTAGGTAAAAGTTACAGTTAGAGATTTATTAAGTGTTAAGAAATAGTTAAAATAATGCCCTGAGCACTCTTCATCTTTAAAGGAAGCTTTGACTATAATCTCATTTAGGTGTCATTATAGCCTGTGATTCCATAATCTACTCAGAAAAGTACTTGAGCATGAAAGTTAGTGAGGAGGCAGAGGACGTTTATTGCCATGAAATAGAATATTTCAAAACTAAGAAAGAGCTGGGCATAGTGACTCATGCCTTTAATCCCAGCACTCCAGAGGCAGAGGCAGGTAGATTTCTGTGAGTTTGAGGCTAGCCTGGTCTACAGAGTGATTTCCATGACAGCAAGAGCTACATAGTGAGATCCTTTCTTAAAAATTCAAAACAAAACAATAAAATAACAACACAACAACAAAACTAAGAAAGATCATAAGGCTGGAGGAAAAAGAACTTGAAATACTTTAAGACCCTGTGTTTAGCCTCATCTTTAATGTAAAAAGAGGAAGCTGGAAAGTGCCACAAAGTACTTCACGAAAGGGATCTTTGCCTATTTTACTTATTTCGTTTTACCAGCTCAGGAAATCCCATCAGTCATTTCTTGTTGCATCAGACATAGCAGTTATACGATGGACATGACTCCCAAAGGCTTCTAACGTTGTCATGATCATGCCATTTCCTCTGCTCATTTATGAATGAACATTACGCATGACCATTTCATGAGCAATTGCAGCTTGTGACTTTGTATCCAGTTTCTGTTTTGAATTACCCATGCTGGTAGAATCGTTTGTGGACCAAATTGCACACTTGTTTGTTTCAAGAAAGGAATATATTTGAACCTGATTTTAAATTTTATGATTTTTGTGCTTTCAATATAACACAATTATAGGTTGATTAACAAATGATAATGAAATTGTAAGAACTATGTGTAAAGTGAGGTAAATTTGGTATCTTAAATTGTCTATCTTTTTAGCTTAGAGAAGATCTTTTTCATATGCCTTGGCCTCAAGTTTATGTGTTGAGGTTACAAGGTATGTGATAATAAGTTAATAATAAAATAATACATAAGTGAATGATTATATAACATACAGTGAGATTGAAAATTTAAATTATTTTTCTATGCTATAGGTTGTTTTTGTTCGCTTTTTTTTTTCTGGTATTGCTCTTTAAGACAGTGTCTTGCTATATAGCACAGGTTGGCCTGAAAATTACTATGTGATTCAGTCAATTCTTCTGCCTCAGCCTCTTAAGTACTGGTATTATCCATATGAGCTACGACTCTTGGCTTGTGTGGCTACTTTTATAAACTCCTGGCAATTATTAACCAAAGGTTCATAAGTCATTGGAAGATGCATATTCAGGAGAAAAGCTCATTTCCTCAAAACAACAAGATGCATATTTCCAAGATACCTGTCTGGTATGCAGAAATTCCCAAAGAACTGGGGTGCTGTTTCTCTTTCTGCTTCATAAAGTATACAAATGTCGGCTGTCATCAGAACACATCTTACCTTGGGATGGTTATTCTGAGCTGCATGTCTCTTACTCAGATTCATGGAAAAGACTGAAAGACAGTATTAAAGCCATTGAAAAACAAGGGAATGCTTATGTATACTATCATATCATCTGCAAATAGTGATACTTTGACTTCTTTCTTTCTAATTTGTATCCCCTTGATCTCCTTCAATTGTCTTATTGCTCTAGCTAGAACTTCAAGTACTATACTGACTAGATATGGAGAGAGTGGGCAATCTTGTCTTGTTCCTAACATTAGTGGAATTGCTTTGAGTGTCTCTCTGTTTAATTGATATTGGTTATGGGCTTGCTGTAAATTGCCAGACAATGCTTCCAGTGGTGGTACTGGGACATCAACCCAGCCACAAAACCTTGAACCTACAATCTGTCCTGCCTACAAATGTTCTGGGCAATGGTGGCACAGAACTTGTGGGAGTGACCAACCAATTACAGGTCTAATCTAACTTGAGGCCCACACCATGAGAGGGAGCCCATGCCCAGCACTGCCTGGATGGCCAGGAACTAGAGGCTGGATAGCCCAGAGACCTAGGGTAAAACCAAACATGACTGCCTCCAAACCCTCAAAAACTAGTGAAGTTATTCCTAACGATATTCTGCTATTATGATCAGTGCCTAGCCCAATTGTCATTAGTGAGGCTTCCTCCAACAGCCGATGGGAGTGGATGCAAAGACCCACAGGCAAACATTAGGTGGAGCTCAGGGAACCCCACAGAAGATGGAGAGGAAGGATTATAGGAGCCAGAGGGGTTGAGAACACCAGGAGAACGTGGCCCACAGAATCAACTAAGCAGGACCCATAGACTGAAGTGGCAATGATGGAGCCTGCATGGGCACGCACTAGGTCTTTTGCATACATGTTAGGATTGTTACCTTGGTATTTTTGTGGGACCACAACAGTGGGAGTAGGGGTGTCTCTGACTCTTCTGCCTGCTCTTGGAACCCTTTTTGTCCTACTGGGATGCCTCTTCCAGCCTTGTTATGAAGTTGTGCCTATTCTTATTGTATCTTGTTAGGCTGTGGTTGGCGGATATCCCTGAGAGGTCTGTTCTTTTCTGAAGGGAAATGGAGGAGGAGTGGATCTGGAAGGGAAGGGAAGGAAGGGATCTGGGAGGAGTGGAGGAAGGGGAAACTGTAATCAGGATGTATTTATTGTGTAAGAGAAGGATTTAAAAAAAGAATCCAGATCAAGAACAGAGAGGGAGAACAAGGAATAGGAGACCATGGTAAATGAAGACCACATGAGAATAGGAAGAAGCAAAGTGCTAGAGAGGCCCACAGAAATCCACAACGATACCCCCACAATAGACTGCTGGCAATGGTCGAGAGACAGCCCGAACTGACCTACTCTGGTGATGGGATGGCCAAACACCCTCATTGTCGTGCTAGAAACCCCATCAAATGACTGAGGGAACTGGATGCAGAGATCCACGGCCAGGCCCCGGTGGAGCTCCGGGAGTCCAATTGGCGAGAAAGAGGAGGGTTTATATGAGCGAGAATTGTTGAGACCAAGGTTGGATAAAGCACAGGGACAAATAGCCAAACGAATGGAAACACATGAACTATGAACCAATGGCTGAGGGGTCCCCAACGGGATCAGGCCCTCTGAATTGGTGAGACAGTTGATCGGCTTGATCTGTTTGGGAGGCATCCAGGCAGTGGGACCGGGTCCTGTGCTCAGTGCATGAGTCGGCTGTTTGAAACCTGGGGCTTATGTAGGGACGCTTGGCTCAGCCTGGGAGGCGGGGACTGGACCTGCCTGGACTGAGTCTACCAGGTTGATCTCAATCCTCGGGGGAGTCTTTGCCCTGGAGGAGATGGGAACGGGGGAGGGGGGGGGGGCTGGGAGGAAGGGGAGGGGGGCGGGAGGAGGGAGAACAAGGGAATCCGTGGCTGATATCTAGAGTTAAATTATATTGTAAAATAAAATAAAATAAAATTTAAAAAAAAGAAAAAAAAGAATCCAAATGAAACAAAGATAAACATCAAAAAAAAGGAAAAAAGAAAAACAAGGGAAGAATATTACTAATGCCAAGTATTGTGGAGAAGTGATTGTTTATAATTCCTTATTTAACTTGACCATAGCAGTGCTGATAAATAAGAAATTATACAAACAAAATAATGCCAATAAATAACGCAGTAAAGATCTCATCATGATTTTAATGCCTCAGTTTTTCTAATTATTAGCATATAACCATGGACAGGCTCTTTAGTATTTCAACCTCATCTGTAAAACAGAAGCCATAATGTTATCTTGTGGGGAGGATGAAACTAATTAATTAATTGTTTGTTAGTTTGTTTCTTGAGACAGAATTTCTCTGTGTAGCCCTGGTTGTCCTGGCTCTCTAGACAGGGCTGGCCTGAAACTCAGAGATCTGCCTGTCTCTGTCTCCAGAGTGCTGAGATTAAAGGTGTGTGTCATTACCACTCAGTGAAATGATTTATTTTTAAAACAACTCTTTATTATGTGCTAGCTATGTACTGCATTGGGCTAGTGGAGGTGAAGTACTGAAAAATAGCACTGAGGAAAATTATGGAATTGTGCACAAGAAATCTTTGGTGGAAATAATTGCTGCATTATCTATGGTCCTACTAGAAGATCATACTGATTCCAGTTTTGCTTTTGTGTTTTAGGTGAAGAATCATGTGAAGTACAAATTAAGGTTAACAGGCATTCGGAATATGTCACAACAGGAGAGCACGTTAAAATTAAATGTCCTGTGACACACTGTGGTCACAGACCTAATGTGACTTGGTGCAAGTACAGGGAAAAACAATGTTTACCTCTTGAGACTGGACCTCAGCAACACACTAGTTGGGAAGAAAACCCCAAGTCTTCAGTTTTTTTTCTCCATTTTGAACCAATAAATGCCAGGGATGATGGATTGTATAGCTGTTCTACAAACTTTAATTCTAATGTTATTAACAGCCGCATAATAACCATCAAGGTGGCAGGTGAGTGCTCTACCCCAGGCCATCCATAGTTTTTTTTCATTGCGTTTCCATGGAAGAGACAACCCAGATTCCAGGTACTTTGGTTAAAAGTTGCAACACTTGTATCACATCCACAATCTGCCACATCTTCCAGACTGTGACAGTCATGAATACATAAAGTATTTGTGTAGGGGGAGAGAAGAATGAGGTAAGAACAGTAGAGGAAAAATAATGGAAGTTACTGGCCTTTTTTGAGGTAGGGTCCAGCTGTTCTGGAACTCTCTTTGTAGACCAGGCTGTCCTGGAACTCACAGAGACCCACCTGCCTCTGCCTCCCGAGTGCTGGGATTAAAGGTGTGTGCACCACCACAGCAGGCAGTTACGGATTGTTCTTGCCTTTAGAGATGAAAACATTTATTGGACAAGTTCAAAAATGATCACAACAACATTGTTTTCTTTTTCCTTAATATTTTTCTGTTGTTGGCTCTTGTTGATTAGAATTTGTAGAAGTTGTGTTCACATAAGCAGCAGATTTGTAGCATGAATCAACAGATAAAGATGTAAAAATACCCTATTGTCATCAGCTTGGAAGACTGTTATAAAGATGACAGTCCCCAAGATTGAACATCATCGTCTCCATCAAATCTTACTTAATTCTAAAATTCACATCATGTTGTAACAGACCCCAAGAAGCCAAAATAATCTGGATAAAGAAGAGAGTTGGAAGTTTAAGACTTCTCTATTTCAAAACTCATTATTAAAATTAGCTATTTAAATACTGTTGTGAGATCAACGTAGAAGAATTGAGAGTCTAGTATAAAACTCTGTATAGGATCAATTGACTTTTTACACTATTTTTATTTTCTCTGTGTGGGTGTTTTAGCCTGCGTGTATGTCTGTGTACTACATAGATGGTTTGTGTTTCTGGGACTGAAGTTACAGATGGTTTGATCTTCCATGTGGGTTCTGGGAATTGGGCCTGGGTCCTCTGGAAGAGCAGCTAATGCTCTCAATTACTGAGCTTTCTCTATGCCTCTCAATTGTTTTTTGTTGTTGTTGTTTATTTTTGTTTTGCTTTGCTTTGTTTTTTTGAGACAGTGTTTCAGTACGTACTTTTTGCTGGCCTGAAACTGGCTGTGCAGACTAGGCTGTACTGAAACTCAGAGATTCACTGCCTCTTCCTCCAAATACTGGGCTTAAAAGTATGTGTCACCTTGCCCAATGCCCTCGACTGATTTTTGAGAAGTAAGATAAAAGTCATCCATATGGGAAAGAAAAGTCTCTTTAACAATAGCAACTGGGAACTTAGCTCAGTGGTAGAGTTCCTACGTACGATGTTGGAGGCTCATGATTTGATTCCTAGCACAAAAAGAAAAAAAAATCCAAAAATGACAAAGAAAGAAGGAAGGAAAAATAACCCCGACACAAATGATGTTGAGATACAATTGTATATACATATGCCAAAATTGAATTTGAACCTCCTGCTTCATACCATGTTAATAAGTAAGTCGGTAGGAGAAGGAAATGATGGGAGTTGAATGAACGAAATTCATGATATATGTGAATGAAATTGTCAAATAATAAAAGAACTCAAAATTGATCAGAAATTTAAAGGTAAGAAATTAATCTACAAAACTACTTTTACATAAAACCATACATCTGCATAGAAAACTAAGTCTTGATCTTTGATTTTGTAATCATTTCCTAGATATGATTATAAAAGCATATAACAAAAGCAATAGCAGATGGAGTAGACTTCATCACAATTCAAAGGATCAAGAGTGAAAAGGCGCCTCACAGAACCTGAGAAAGTGTTGGAGAATCACATGCCTAATAAGAGACTATTGCCCAACATGTATAAAGATGCACCAGAACTTTCTCCATACCTTCCTGGATCACTTCAGGGAGGGAACCTTTCCGAGCTGAACAGCGTTACTTTCCATTGCCACATCTTTGTGTGTGTGCATATATGTGCCTGCACATGTGTGTACGTGGAAGGCAGAGGTTGACATCTGGTGCCTTCCTCAATTGCTTTCCACTTTATTTTTTGAGACAAGATCTCTCAGTGAACTTGGGACTCAATGGAATTGTTAGGCTGGCTAGTCAGTGATAACCTGGGATGCTCCTGTTGCTGCCTCCTTAGCACTGGATTACAGCCAGGAGCTGCCATGTTCTCTCTCTTACGTGGATACTGAAAATTCAACATAGGTCCTTAATCTCACACATGTGACCCATCTTCCCAGGACCAGCCTTATCACATCCCTATCATCACCTTCCTATGGCATTCTCACCCATTTCAGAAGATGCATTTTTTTTTGTTGTTTTTTGTTTTTGTTTTTCGAGACAGGGTTTCTCTGTGTAGCTTTGCGCCTTTCCTGGAACTCGCTTTGGAGACCAGGCTGGCCTCGAACTCACAGAGATCCGCCTGGCTCTGCCTCCCGAGTGCTGGGATTAAAGGCGTGCGCCACCACCGCCCGGCCAGAAGATCCATTTTTATACCTATCACAACTATACTTTTCCTTTCAAGCCCAGATTATTGCCCAAGTTCTCCAGGAAGCCTCCAGGATTACCCTCAATGAGCTGATTCTGCAGTCTGTCAATTTGCTTATCGTTCAGGTCTATGTCTCTCATTTATCATACATTTCCTTTCCCTGTGCATTATATAAAAATATGTCAAGTTCCATAAGAGCGTATAGTGTCTTACAAAATAGAAATCATGTCTTGCTTTTTGTGGTTGTTTTTCTTTTGTAGAAGTCACATACATTTCTTTTTAGGATTAGTTTAAATTTCAGCTGAGTATATAGTCTCCTTTAGGGAAATGGTGATTACAGGGAAAGAATAAAAATATTCTTTTTATTTTTATTTTTTATTTTTTTTTTGGTTTTTCGAGACAGGGTTTCTCTGTGTAGCTTTGCGCCTTTCCTGGAACTCACTTGGTAGTCCAGGCTGGCCTCGAACTCACAGAGATCCGCCTGCCTCTGCCTCCCGAGTGCTGGGATTAAAGGCGTGCGCCACCACCGCCCGGCTCTTTTTATTTTTGAACCCGAGAGTGCTCTGGGAACTGCTTATGAAATGAGGAAAGAAATATGTCCTGGAACTATGGTTATGCTTGCAATTATTAAAATTTGGAGATATGATACAAGTATTTTGTTTTTTTTTTTTCCCCTTGAAATATTTTTCTGAGGGGATGTTGGAAATGCCCCTGTTTTTGCATATGTTTTGCTTTTTATGTTCACGATAGAAATTGGTTTGTGTAAGGACAAATGTGAGCAGAAGGAGGCTTGGGTATTCTTGAGAAAGCAGTTGTCTTCCAGAATGAGGAAAGGCACCTTGTGAAACAAAGCAATGTCCAAGGGGATTATCTCACAGAGCCAGGAACAGCCCCTGCATATATACATTGGTATATATATATATATATATATATATATATATATATACATACATATATATATATATGTATGTATGTATATATATACCTGTGATTCTCAATCGTCCCAGGTTAGTTTCTGATTAGGGACATTAGAAAAATGCAGAGGTCATTTATCTGTGTATGGCGATGTGTGTTGAGTGAGAAGGCAAGAAGTGAGAGGCACAATCTTTGTTTCAGAATGAGCACCTTGACTGATTCTCACCCAGAGCATCCAGTCTCAGAAGCACCTAAGGGTTGCGTGTTTTATTATATTGCAGGTGTCAGAGGTCACACGTGGTCTCTGTGTCCTTGTGCCTAAAGTATGAGGAGGAGAGAACCAAAGAAGTCAGATGAAGGTTATACTGTGTTGATAGTAGTCTTTCTTCAGACTTGAAAAAGAACTCCTTTGCTTTGTGTATCATGATCTCAAGGTGAAGATCCATGAATTATGCAAGCTGAACTTGGCCTGGATTATTGGATTCTCTGTTGTTGTGGCAACACTGGAGTCCTTTCTAAATAGCTTTGACTTTAGAGATAACATTGAATACCACCTTAGTGTTTTCTCAAGCCATTTTAATAGTTAATCTTGTTTTCTATTTCAGAAAGGACTCAAAATGATTCAGAACACCATCTAATAAGTAAGTATGAAACTAATCAAAATTAGCAAGTTTGTTTGGTGTTCAGATAAATAATGGGAATAAGGTCTTCTTAATTGAGTTTGTTTGTATTAGATTATTTATTGTTTGCCATCAGACTGCCTTCCCCCAGACAGCTGCATCTGCTTCTTGGCTGCTTGCCCAACCTAAACAGCAGCTGCAGTAATTCACCACCATTCTGTACCATTAAACTATATGCCCACTGTATGTCCCCTTCAACTGCTCCTGATTGTTTTTACCCTCAAAGAAAGGATCCGAGGGGGTGTGTGTGTGTGTGTGTGTGTGTGTGTGTGTGTGTGTGTGTGTGTAGGGGGGAATCACACACATAATTCAATACTTCACTGCTTTTGATACTTAGTATCAAAATAATAGTAACCCCAAAGAAGCAGTACATCTTACATCATAACCCAGAACACATACACATGAAAAGCAAATCCACACAATCCATAGATAGTGGAGCTGTTGGATTTCTGTGCTATGGAAATGGAAGAGTGCCCTGTGTAGTGCAGGGATTTTATTAAGCCCTTGATCTTTCCTTACTAGATGCAGGCACTCTCCCACCTTGTGATACCAGAAGGGTCTCCCAAAACTACCACATGTTTCTGGAGCATGAGAGATTTTCTGGTTGAGAACCACTGCATGTACTATGAATTCAGATATTTTCTAGTTTGTTTTATAATATTAAAACACTACTATTTTGGGGGTCTGGAGAGATTGCTCAGCAGTTAAGAGCACTGGCTGCTCTTCCAGAGGACCTGGGTTCAATTTCCAGCACCCACACAGCAGCTCACAAGTATCTATAACTCAGTGGATCCAATTCCCTCACAAAGGCAATCAGGTCAAACACCAATGCATATAAAAATAAAAGAAAATATGTTTAAAAAAAAACCCTACTATTTTTTGATTCACTAAGTTGTGTCACAACTTATTTGTAAGTTGCAACCAACCTTGACCAAAGAGGGATCCAGTGAATGCTAACACTGATCAGTCATAACGAGCACTAGCTAGATGCTAAGAAAAGCATATTTGGTAAGAATAAAAGTATTTGATGTTTGGAGATAATGATGTCTTACAAGAGGGAGCAAAGGTACAGATAGCATCAGAAACCCTCTGGCAGGAGTCCCGACCGCCATTCATGAGCTGCCTGTCTTTGGGCAATTTTTGGAGCAATAACATTCCTTTCAAGTTCTAAAACTGTATAAAGAAAATGGTTTCATGAGCACTGAGCTAAATATATAAATGAAAGGGCCTGGAGTAGTTTGTGAGAACTGTCACAGAGATCTTTCTTCAGATGACTTGTTCAAGATGAGTGTGAGATGTTCACAAAAGTTAAAAAGAGTAGGTTGATGGTACTGGGACCACCAAAGGAGAAATAGAGGGCTTGAATTATTGTCATAATTCAAACTATGACAATGCAAAGGGGTATTGTTAACTCTAATGCTTCTAGAACATCTTAATTGTTTTCAGCACCGTCTGACATCCCAGATGCCACCAACGCCTCAGGACCACCCACCGTGGAAGAGAGAGTGGACAGGACCTGGCTGCTTTACAGCTTGCTTCCTTTGGGGGCATTGCCTCTGCTGCTTGCCTGTTCCTGCCTGGTCTGTTTCCTGAAAAGGCGCCAAGGTGGGTTGCAATTTCCCTCTGCCCTCATGTGCCACACATTTGGGGCCCATTTTCTAGGGCATAAATTTTTTGCTGGCTAGTGTTTTTTTTTTTTCTGGATAATGATTCCTGGGGTTCTACTGGTTTCCACTAGAAAACTGAATGGATTAACGTGGGCTCTCCCCAGGCATGGTAAGGCATATTCACCACATCACAATGCTAGCCTAGAGTTGTGGCTAAGAGGGCACATGCTGGAATGTTCTCATTCTATACACATCAATCTTAGGTGTGTATAAGACAGCATTTTCCTAAACTTTAATCAAGTTGAAAGGCAGGTTGAAATAATCTCTTGAATCAACATGTTTAATTTGAGTTATTCTTTTTAAGCCCTTTGCACAGCTATACCACAAAATTCCAATGATACACACCCTTATCTAAATAAAGGACCATTGTCCCCAGAAGGGATTCATATGCGTTTGTACTTTCTATGCTGTCATAAACCCATGCTTGAGTCAGGTTTTTACTCAGTAGCGTTGCATTTGAAAATGTGGACTTGCCTACAGTAAGAGTTGCTTTTTCCTTTTGCAATCATGTCTTCATCGTCACCACTGAACAGTAAAACTCAGCAAGAGAGGCATGCTGATCTGGTCCATCTATATTTTCTATTTCCTGTTCTTCTCCTTGTCTTCCCCTCCCCTTCCTTACAATACAAGCCACAGTGTAGCTGTAGAAAACGAGCCAGACAGAGCATCCCTTGTTTGACTGCCACAAGAGAAAGCTTTGTCTGGACCGAAGAGCTTCTGGTGTTTTGAAGTAAGTGCTTCTGGATCCCAGAACCTTTTTATAGTTCTAAGGAATCCCCCTGTAAACCCAGCTCTGCCTCTGTAACTACACAGCACAAGAAACTAGAATAATCTTTATTGGTGATCATATCCAAAGGGAATTGGGAGCATGGATATGTGACAAGAACCTTAGTTACATTTTTATATTTCTGTTTGTTGAGAATTTCTTATACAAAAACAATACATTTTGACCATCGTCACACTGTCCTTTTCTCTAACCCCTCTAACCCCTCCTAGATCCTCTTCCCAATTACACACACACACACACACACACACACACACACACACCTCTTAGGTTTTTTGTTGCTGTGAAGAGACACCATAACCACGGCAACTCTTACAAAGAAAACATCTAATTGGAGTGGCTTGCTTATAGTTTCAGAGGTTCAGGCCAATATCATCTTGACAGGGAGCATGGCAGCATGCAGGCAGAAGTGGTGCCAGAGTAGTAGCTAAAAGTCCAACATCTTGCAAGCAACAGGAAACTGACTGACTCACTGGGTGGTATCTTGAGCAAAAGAAACCTCAAAGCTTACCCCCACAGTGACACATTTCCTCTAGCAAGTCCATACCAATTTCACCAAAATCACACCTCCTAATAGTACCACTCCCTATGATATTATGGGGGTCAGTTACATTTAAACTACCACATTCTACTCCCTGGCCCCCATAAGCTTGTAACAGTATCATAACGCAAAATTCATTTAGTCCAACTTCAAAAGTCCCCATAGTCTATCACAGTCTCAACACTGTTTAAAAGTCCAAAGTTCAAAGTCTCTTCTGGGATTCATGCAATCTCTTAACTGTAATCATCTGTAAAAATCAAAATCAAAAAGCAGATCACATACTTCCAACATATAATGGCACAGGATATACATTACCATTCCACAATGCAGGGAAGGGAGCATAGTGAGGAAATACGGGACCAAAGCATGACCAAAAACCAGCTGAGCAAACTCCAAACTTTGCATCTCCATGTTTGATGTCAAAACACTCTTCAGATCTCCAGTTCTGTTCAGCTTTGTTGACTGCAACACACTTTTGTTTTCCTATTGGGCTGGTTCCACTCCCTGTTAGCAACTCTCCTCAGCAAGTATCCCATGACTCTGGCATCTCTACCATCTTGCATTCTCCAAAGGCAATCCAGGCTTCAACTTCACAGCTTCATGAAATGGCCTCTCTACTGTCACAAGGCTGGCCTCAGTGGCTTTCTTTGGTGCACAAGCACATTCCATAACCCATTTTTTTCTGTCCTTAACTCAAGAGGCAGAAACACGTGGCTGAACCTGCCAAGTTCTGCTACTTACTGGGGCTGGAACATGGAATAATCATTCAATTATATCTTCACCAGCTTTCTGTCCTTTACTGCTGAGGGTTGGCTGTCCTGAAACTTGCTGTGTAGACCAAGCTGACCTCACATTCAGAGATCTGCCAGGCGCTGCCTTTCCAGTGCTGGGATTAAAGGCTTGCACTACCACACCCATCTTTAAGCTTTTCTTTAATTCATAAGTTGGAAATTTAGTTGAACAAGGGCAAAAAGCAGCCACTTTCTTCACCAAAATATCGCAAGAACAGTCTCTAGGCAACATACTAAAATTATTCTCCTTTGTAACCTCTTGAGCAAGCTCTCCACAGTTCACCAAATCACATTCAGCATTACTGTCTTCCATGCCCCTACTAGTATGGCCCATCAAGCAGTGCTTAAAACATTCCACTATTTCTCTAACCCAAAGTCCAAATTCCTCCAAACAAAAACATGAATCTGGCCTTTCACAGCAATACTCCAGTCCCTGGTATCAACTTCTGTCTTTGTTAGGGTTTTTATTGCTGTTGAAGAGACACCATGACCATATAAAGAAAACATTTAAGTGGGGTGACTCCCTTACAGTTTCAGAGGTTCAATCCTTTATCATCATGATAGGGAGCATGGTAGCATGCAGGCAGATATGGTGTTGGAGTAGTAGCTGAGAGTCCTATATCTTGCAGGCAACAGGAAGTTGACTGATACACTGGGCAGTATCCTGAGCAGAGGAAACCTTAAATCCTACCCCCACAGTGACACACTTCCTCCATCAAGGCTATAAACACTCCATCAAAGCCACACTTCCTAATGGTGCTACTCCTTATCAGATTATGGAGGCCAATTACATTCAAACTACCACAACATATATCCCATTGAGCCAATTAGTGTTGTTCATATACATATAGCTGTGGAAATTCACTGAGGCATGGTAACCTACCAGAGATGATTCCCTCCCCCCCACAAAGAACTGACTCTTCCTCATCCTAGCAGCTATTACCTGTCATGAGCTAAAGGTTGCAGGGCTCCTGTACTGCCATGCTGGCTGGCTTAATCTTGCAAGAAATCACAGGTGTTATGAGTTACTTGATACAATGGCACAGTCACATCCAGGAGACAGTTTTTCCTCAGCCTTCACCAACCTCCGGCTCTTACAGTATTTCTTCAATGTTACCTGAGCCTTGGGGGAGGAGTATGCTATAGATGTCCCATATATCGCCGAGCTGACAGAAGCACTTTTAACATAGAGAATGCAATGACTCCCAACCTTTGAAACTGTTCTTCATTAGATCCCGCTCCTTCCTCTTGAATGTGAAGACTGTCTTATGACGTAAGAAGTGAGGGGAAGGAAGTGGGCATGTGCATTCTCACAGGCCGAGATGTGCATGGTCCAGTTAGCAAGGCAAAACAAACAGTGTGAGTGCCAGAGTGCATGAGGTGGGTGTGGTGGGAAGATAGTTTACCTTGCTTTCTTAATACCATTTGATGACCATTTGTCTTTCTTTCTTTTCAATCTTTCAGGGAAAGGAAAGATGCCTTCTGACTTAGCAGAAAGGGAAGTTAACCTGGTACGTCTGAAATATCTGCTAAGACAAACACGTTTTATGTTACACCATATGTATTTTTTCAGTAAGTTTATATTACATTATCACACACACACACACACACACACACACACACACACACACACTCCAGATTTTTCACGTCAGCTGTGATTGCCTGCATAATACTTGAGTAAGATAGGGCCTCTAAACAACTTGCTATGGAGTGGCGAGGAAACGATGGTAGTCAGTAATGGATGGGGAGAGAGCCGTTCTCAGTGTGCTCACTGTAAACAAACCCTCGCTTACATTATTGTAAGCCACTGAAATGAAATTCATTGTGGGAAAAACCATCAAGATAGAAAGGGAACGAGTTGGGAAGAGGAAGGGGATTGGGAGGATTGGGAAGGGGACAAGAGAGAACAATGGTGGGTGGGTGACTATGAACAAATCTATTGTATACGTATATGTCATGTAAAACATTATTATGTGTAGTTACTATATGCTAATGAAACATAAAAAAAAAAGCAAAACAGAAAAGTCCAGGGTTCTGATCTTATTTCAAAATGGTCCTTCTAAGGTAATGATTCTCAACCTTCTTAATGCTTCGACTCTTTAATACAGTTCCTCATGTTGTGGTGACCCCCCAACCATAAAATTATTTCCATTGCTACTTCGTAACTGTAATTTTACCACTGTTATAAATCATAATGCCAATATTTTTGGAGATAGAAATTTGCCAAAGGGCTCATGACCCACAGGTTGAGAACTACTGTTCTAAGGGACTAAAAGTGGTTTTATAAACATGTCCACTCAGTCATAACACACTTAACTTAAAAGGGTCAGACTTTTTGAAAGTGAGTTATAAACCAACATGTTCGTTTTTAAAAGAGCCTTACAACTGCAATAGGTCTGCAAGGTGAGATGGCTGCCTGTCTAACAGCCTTTATCGTCTGGGCCACCACATCACAGTGCACCTGCCTTGTGGCACCCGCTGCTTTTATAGAGTGTTACTGGAGAACTTGAGGTGCAAAGAACTAGGTTCGTGCTAACAGAGTCTACATGACAATGAGCCATTCTGGTGAAGAGGGCCAAGCCAACTGAACTGACAGACTAAGATCAGAAAATACAGCAGGGAACCTCGGTGGTAGACAGTGAATTTGCAGTTCTTTAGCAATTCATTTGACAGTCTTCAGTGCACCCCCAGGCAGGCTCATTTTGTGTGGGGGCACTTTCCATCTTAGCCAATCCATTCTTGGCTCAGTCAGACCTCCAGCCTTCGTGTGATTTCTGGGTGCTCACCTCACAGGAAAATTGCAGCATATCAGCCGTTATTGCCTCATTTCTCAAGTTAGGACTAAGCGTGCTTTGAGGACAGAGCTTTCCTCAGTAGGTATAAGAGAAATCCTACTGCATATGTCATAGTGAGACTTACCAAGGACCAGAGGAGTGTGACTAGTCAAAGGTCAAGAACTCGATAACTTTTAGGAAGAGCATAACTTGGCTGGCAAAGTGGAGATTTAAAAAAGTCAAAATAGAGCCCTGGGGGAAATGGACCAGTGGGTAAAGCACTCTGTGCAACTGTGAGGACTGGGTTTGGATCCCTACAACTTATGCCAAAGCTGGGTGTGGTTGCACACACTTTAAAACCCAGTGGTGGGGGAGGAAGTGAAAACTGGTTGAATCAGGGGCTCATTGGCCATCCAGCCTAGCTGAAAGTCTACTTGAAGTACCAGCTTCAGTGAGAACACCTTTCTCAATAAATAAAGTAGAGAGGAACAGAAGAAGAAACCTGACATGACCTCTGACCTCTACAAGTACACACATGGGTGAATGCACCTACTCACACACATACAGATCCACCCCTTCCCCCTTCCACACATGAAAGTTAAAACCCTAAATATTAATACAACATCATTTTTACCATCTGCACTTTTTGTATAACTAGGAGAAGTTAACAAATAACTGAAAAGAGGGAGAAAATATCAAAATTCACTTCAGTTTCACAGATTTCCCTCTGTCTCACACCATTTAGGTCTCTGGCACTATTTAAACGTATGATTTTTTTTTGTGTGTGTGGTAGAAACAACTAGAATAATATTTTAGAACTTAATTGAAACTTTATTCTTTAAAAATTGGCTTCCATTTTCCAATTTATCTCTCTCATTATAATGTGTATTGGATAACCCATGATGCTTCCTATTCCTGCTTTCCCGAGGAGGTCTCAGGTCTTTTTGCTTTGGGCTTGATCTTTTGATGTTCTATGTTCCATAAGCCAATGTGTTATAAGCTGCCCAACGTTTTCATTGGATTATTTTTCTCTTTCCATGAACTGGACTGTGATTTTTCCATGGAAAGAGCATTGTGTGTATGTGTTGTGATCTCAAATGGCCCATAATACAGCACAAAACAACTGTTTGGGAAGAACATAGTGAACTTCAAATGTTTGGCCTTTTGGGCTCAGTGGTCAAGAACCTGTCTAGCACTCATGAGGACCTGGACATAACATAAAACAAAACAAAACAAAACAAAAAAACCAAACCAACCAAACAACCCCACCCCAAACAAACCAACCCTTTCATTCTTTGATAATACAAAGTTTAGTGAAAAATGTAGAAAAAAAGTAACTTACATGCGGAACAATAGATGGTCTCTCTCAATGTGCATGACAACATGTAGCCTTTCACTCGGAGTCTAATAATCAATATGTTTTGTCGCATCCTTATGTGTTACATCTCTTTTCTCTTGTAGGTTGATATCCCAGTGAGTCCCAGGACAAATTCCCAAACACTGCCATCAGAAACTGGCATTTATGATAATGATCTCTGGTCAAGTGTCCAGGAAAGTTCTGAATCTACAACTAACTCCCAATTGGAGGGAAACAAACAGGGCGTTATTTATGCTTCTCTGAACCATTCTGTTATTGGAAGGAACCCAAGACAGGCAAAGAACATACAAGAGGCACCCACAGAGTATGCATCCATTTGTAGGAGAAGTTAAATCTAGTACTGACATAGACTGTGAGCACTGCATGATGAACTTGTCAATACCACTGTCTGGACCTCTGGTGTCGAATAACTTTCTTCAACCCGGGAATTTTCACAATAAGATGGTTCCTACTGGGCTGTGTCGTAAAGGTCATGGAATATTTAGTTAATTTCTCCTGAAAACTTTGGAAGAGTTTTGTGCAAGAGGCCTGAACAATAGACTTTTCTTTGGGAAAATTCATATCACAAATAGCAGAATAATAGAATGTTTAAATTTGACCATGTCTTACCCAAGGTGTGAATTTAATATTTCCTTTGGAACTATCAGAGAGACTTACAGAGAAGAAAGAAGTGTGACATTTGGATAAGCTCACTACACATTCTAGAAAAAGAATGGCCCAATTTGACTGACTAATCACAAATACAGTAATGATTGTATGTTCCCAATCTTCCATGATAAGACAATTTCCCATGTCAATCTATAGCTAAGGTTTTATTTTTTTAATATAAAGGAAAATTATCTTGGACTCAATTCAGAAAAAGATGAGAAAAAGTAACTGGTGCAATACAGATACAGAAGATGCCAAACAGAGGTGGGGCCAATGTACATTATCCCCGCTAATGAGATGCTTATCATCACCCTGTTAAATCAAGAAAGTCGGGTAGTACAGGATTCATCAATATATAGTGAGCACTTTTGTAATCAGAATGGTAGTGTTTAGATCAAGTGGAGTAATGAGCATGAATGTGATGCAATGCTACTGAACTAATACATGTATGAACATATGAACAAGAGTCAACAGGAGTAGATATTATAAGGCAAATCCAGATTGAACTTTTAAACCACCGTGTGCTTTACCTGAGAGCCAACTCAAAGGGCTGTTCAGAAAAAGAAAGAGTCTGGAATATTTAGTTGATCAGTAGGCGTTGACATACTTTCATAAATGTCTGTTTCTTGCTTCTTATCAAGTGAATCAGGACAAATCATATGTAATGCATATGGAGGTCATTCAGGTTTAAATTCTGACATTGTAGCTGCTTGAGAGGATAGATTTTCAGGTGTGCTGAATTTCCAGATTACTCGAGTCTAATTATTTAAAACATAGCTCATAATTTTATTCATCAGCTTGAGGCTTGAGTTCTCTGACTCTGAAACTGAATGTCGTCATCATTTTAGTATGCAGTGGATGGTAAAAGCTAGAAGCCACTAGAACAAACACATGGGCTGCTGAATGAGCGAATGTGGTCCAAGTAATTGTGCAGGTGTGTGTGTGTGTGTGTGTGTGTGTGTGTTCCTGTGCCCATGCATGCTAATATGAAAATGCAAGACATGTCTTACAGAAACAAGACAAGAAACCAATCAGATTGCCACCCTATTTTTAGTTTGCTTAGGAGGTACAAAGCACTAGAACAAATTAGGCATTAAAGAAAATAAGTTCTGAAACGGTGAGAATAAGAATGTGGTTAGAGAATGTATTCAGAAACAGACAATGTAGAGGCCTTACTGAAAAACTTTTCTCACCTACTGCTCACATCAGGTTTCAGTTCCCTGGATTTGGGACAGCAGACACTGTTTTCAGATACTCTTGCAACCAACTCTAGGTAAGCTCTTTCAACCAGGTGCATTTGTGGGTATTTATGCAAAAAAAAGTCTTAAAATAGCTGCTTTAGCTGCTCATCTTCAAAATAGAAACAGGAAGTGTGGGGCATGAGCACAGCGCCCTGTCCCTCTTATCAGATCAACATGTGAGTTGAACAATTCTATCAGAATAGTCTCCAATTTTAAAAACAAAGCTCTTCTGCCTATTTTGTTTAAAACAATCTTTTAAAAACTCTCTGTGTGTATTTATATCTGCGTATGCGTGTGTGTGTGTGTGTGTGTGTGTGTGTGTGTGTGTGTGTGCACGCACGCGCGTGTGTGCTGTATGCGTGTTGTGGCATATGCACACGTGTGTGCAGGAGCCAGAAGAGGACGCTGGGTACCCTTTCCTATTGCTCTCCACTTCACTCTGTTAGGGAAAGGTCTCTCCTTGAACCTGGAGCTAGGCCTGTAGACAGCAAGCACAGTGATGGATCCTTCTGTCTCTGCCCCCCACATTGCTAGGGCTATCTGCTCATGCCCAGCTTTTTACACGGGTGTGAGCCATCCAAACTCAATCCCCGATGCTTGCACAGCAAGCGCCCTTACCTGCTGAGCCATTCCCGATGCTCTTAGTCGGGCAGTGGTGGCGGTGCATGCCTTCAATCCCAGCACTCGGGAGGCAGAGGCAGGCAGATCTCTGTGAGTTCGAGGCCAGCCTGGTCTACAAATCAAGTTCCAGGACAGCCAGAGCTGTTACACAGAGAAACCCTATCTTGAAAAACCAAAAAAGAAAACATGAATGTTATTATTATATTTTACAATGAAAGGCACTGCTAGAGATTTCACCTCTATGAATGGTCCATTATGTTTATGTTTGTACCGTGCTTGTCAAAAATCACATATCATTTATGCTCTTATTCCTACTTAGCAAATATATATACATATATATTTTCTCAAATATATCTGTTCCAGGATTATTTTCGTGTTTATTTAAGTTACAGATGGTAGATAGTTTTATGATTTCCATGAACTTTAAGATTGTTGATTGTTCCCAGTAAGACAGTAAAATTCTTAAAATTTACCTGAGATCAAAGAAGCCAAAACTTACCAGTAGCTAAAACACTGAAGAAGACCCCCTCCCCGCTCTGGCCTGGCAATCAACCACTAATAACTCAGCAGGCAGGAGCAGCCATTGTAAGCCCCTTCCCCATCCATGAGGGACATTGATGGCACCAGTCTTGTGCCCGTCTTGCCCAAGCAAACCCAGCTGTTGTGAGTTCATGGGTACAACACTCATGTCATGGCCCAAAGCCAGCATTTTACAGTGTTCCTTCCTGTGTCCCCGCTCAAACGTTCTTTCCCTTCTGCCTTCCTTCACCTTTCTTAGTCACTGGAAGGGATGCTACACATGTCACATTTACAGGTGAGCGCTCAGCAGTCACTTTATCTTGACCCTTTGACCATCTCTAAGCCTCTGCATTGACCACACCCACCACATTAAGAAGCTCTTCTGACCAAGGCTGAGAGCAGTCCAGAGCTGTGGGTATAAAGGTAAGGATTTCGAAACCTGCTTGACCAGCTGACAATTTACCCAGCGTTTTCTCCATTTTTTCTTTGATTGAAAAAAGTTTTTTCCATACAATATAATCTGATTGCAGTTTCCCCTTCCCCAATGCTTCCAAGGCCCTCCCCATCTCCCCTCCCATCCAAATCCACACCCCTTCTGTCTCTGCTTAGAAAACAATCGGGCATCTAAATAATAATTACAGCCGGGCGGTGGTGGCGCATGCCTTTAATCCCAGCACTCGGGAGGCAGAGCCAGGCGGATCTCTGTGAGTTCGAGGCCAGCCTGGGCTACCGAGTGAGTTCCAGGAGAGGCACAAAGCTACACAGAGAAACCCTGTCTCGAAAAACCAAAAAAAAAAATAATAATAATAATAATTATAAAATAAGAGAACACAAAAGCGAATAAATCAAAGTAGGACAAAACAAACAGAAAAAGCATGAGAAACACAGATAGATGCCATGAGACCCATGTTCACACGCATAGGAATCCCATGAGAACACAGGACCAGAAGTCATAATATACACACGAAGGACCTGGACGATTAAAAAAGAGTATGCCCTGACCAAACATTATGAGACAAAGAGCCTCCAGAGATTCCACTGAATACATTGTGTGTTGTCCATCTGCTGCTGAGCAGGAGGCCTGCTCTGAAGAGTAGTTTGTATATCCAGTAAGATTCCATTGTAGAAAATTAATTTTCCATTTGTGAGTGGTTAGCCATTGGAGATGGCTTCTGGGTTAGGGATGGGGGCTTCTGTCCACATCTTTCAGCTCAAAGACCCCCTCTGGTACAGACCTGTGCAGGCCCTGTACAAGCTGCCTTTGTCTCTGTCTCTGTGAGTTCATATGTGTGTCTGTCCTGCAGTGTTTAGAAGGCCCTGTTTTCTTGGTGCCCTTTTTGCCAACTGGCTCTTACATTCTTTCAGCCTCCTCTTAGGCAGGGTTTCCTGAAGGGAGAGGTTTTATGAAGACATCCTGTTTAGGACAGAATGTTTCAAGGTCTCTCACTCTGTACATGTGTCTGGAGGTGAGTCTCTTATTTATTCCCATTTATTCCCCAACACAAAATGAACTCAATGGTTTTTTTTTTTTTCTGTAGACTTTTTGTCTCATATTGCTTTGCTTGGGATTTTTTTCCTTATTGGTAGTTTGCTTGTGTATTATAGTTTATAATTCTGTGTTTTCATGGGCTCTGTTTGTGCTTGGGTATGTACATGTTTCTTGTGCTTTCTCCTTTAAAACATTTCTTTACTCTGGTTTGTTTGCTAAAGAGGTAAAGAAAGGGTGTGGAGTTGAGTGAGTGGGGAAGATCTAGGAGGAGTTAGGGGGGGAATCATATTCAGAATATATCTTATGAAAAAATATCTTCAATAAAAACACATAAAGAATTAAAATAATTAAAAATTAAAACTTTCCATCAGAACAAATATCAAGAAGAAAACACAGAAGTTTTCCATGTGCAGGTTTCTGCAATGTGCACAGCTGACCCCCATCAGCATCCTGCAGGACAGGAGACTAGCAAATGAGGACCAATGCTAAGATATCATTATCAACCAAAGTCTCTAGTGTGCCTCAGGATTTATTCTTGGTATTCTTGTGTCTATGGAGTTTAGACTTGCATAATGACCTTTACGAAGACATGAAGAATAACATTGCTACTTACCTACTACACACTGAGTTCTACCTATTCAACCCTTCTGTCCTCTTAACTCCTGGAAACTGTGTAATCTGTGTATTTTATCTGTAGCTTCGCCTTTTCCAGAACAGCTGGAGTCACATTCTATGTGTCCTTTTCATACTGGCTTTTTAGATGCAGTAACATGTATTAGTTCTATCATGTTTCCATAGCTTGATAGTTTATTTCTGTTGAATGATATTTCATTGCTTGGACAACTTACAGTTTATTCATTCTCCTTCTGAAGGAAATCTTGGTTGCTTCCAAGAACTTGGTAATCTTAATGTGCTATAAACATCCATGCAGAAGTCTTTGTGTAGGAATAAATTCTTATTTTATTTGGATAAAAGCAAAGGAGGATGATCGCTGGCCTAGGGTTGTGTTTACTTTTGTAATAACTGCTACAGTAGCTGTACCATTTTATATTCCCACCAACTTCCTAGCCAACATTTAAT